TCGGTCCCAGTATGTCGATGGCTCTGACTTGTGTCTGCACACAGTGTCCAGGGCACCTCTGGCCTTCAGGAATGCTGATGGCCGAAGCCCCGGTGTAGCTGATCCTGAGAACCCGCATGGGCAGGAGGGATGGTCAGGGCTTTTGTGTAGAGTGGGCTCAAGCGGGTTACAGATTGGTCGTGGGCCTGTTTCGGACAGTAGTCATTGTCACAGATGCTTTACAGCTGAAAGGAACGTTGGTCCCCTGCCCTCGAAAGGGAGGGACCCTGAGACCTGATGGGTTTTGCACCTGCCCACACTGAGCCCTGCACTGCCCATGGCCCTTCTCACCACAACAAGATGACTTACTGGATGGCCGAACTGGAAGCTCAAAGCCTCTAGGCTCCGCACCTGTTTTAAAAACCGTTACTGTCTACCGAATGAGTTTGGCAGAGGTCTGTTAACTGTGCGAGGAAAACAGCTATTACCGGGTGGCCCACGTTATCTCTTGGTATACTTACTCACAATGATCTCTTTTATGTAAATATCTTAAAAACTGGCATCTCCCCCAGCTGGTGTGGCTCAGTGGATTGAGCATCATCCCCTGGACTGAGAGGTCCTAGTTTGATTCCCAGTCAGGGCGCATGCCCGGGTTGCAGGCTTGATCCCCAGTAGGGGGCGTGCAGGAGGCAGCCCATGGATGTTTCTCTCGCCCCCTTTCTTTGGTGATCCCGTGACAGCAACAGAAAGGTGGGAAGCTGCTCAGGTTTCAATTCTAGAGCCTCCGTTTCCATGTTCTGCCAACTCCTGGCCGTCTGAGTTAGCCCTTGTTAGGCCACAATTAACAGAAGTAAGGAATTGCTATCAAGGATTCGGGGTAACCTGGGGCGGAAGAACCTCGTAGTGACTCCGGGGCCATTCGCTCGCCTTGCCTGACGGCTCTGTATGTCTGATGTATGTCTTCTTCATATGGAAGAACTGGCTGCACCACAGTGTGGGCTCCAGTTTTAGGATTTTCTTCTCTTTCGTTTAACAGATACTGACTGGGGTCTTTGAATCCAAATTCCCAAAGAGAAAGCATTGGATGAGTTTGAATTTGGTCAGGTGTCCAGCCCAGGGCCAGTTAGCCTTGGCCAGGGGGCTCAAGCATGGCTGCCAGTCTCCTCTCCCGTCCTGCACTGTCCCAGGGGTAGACAGTGGGCAGAGGAGGAAGGAAATTCTCCCACAAGAGCAGTGTGAGATGGCACACCTTGCACAAAGTATCCAGCACATTTTGTAACTTTGGGAAAAATTGCCTCACATCTCAGTCTTCGTTTTTCTCCTTTAGAAAATGGATATATAACTACTTGTTTCCCAGGGTTGTAGAATCTACATGCAACATTTTTTTTTAATCCTCACCCAAGAATATGTGTGTGTTTTTTATTGATTTAGAGAGAGAAGAAGGGAGAGGGAGAGGAAGAAATAGCAATGTGAGAGAAACATCCACCAGTTGCCTCTAACCTGAGCCTGTGTATGTGTGCTGACCAGGACTCAAACCTGGACCCTTCAGTGCACAGGACAATGCTCCAACCAACTGAGCCACCAACTGAGCCACACTGGCCAGGGCAACAATTTAAAAAAATATATTTTTATTGATCTTTTAGAGAGAGAGGAAGGGAGAGGGAGAGAGAGAGAGAAACATCAATGTGAGCACGAAACATGGATTGGCTGCCTCCTGCACACCCCCCACTGGGGATCAGCCCACAACCTGGGCATGTGCCCTGACTGGGAATCGAACCAGTGACCTTTCAGTGCATGGGATGCCACCCAACCAACTGAACCACACCGGCCAGGGCTATGTGCAACAATTTTAAAATGAGTTGTTAACTCGAAGAATATTTATAAATGTAAGATTTTACTTAGTCTAGATAACAACATGCACTAACTCAGTATTTATTGAGTACTCACTACACACTGGGAATAATTTTCAATACAAAAGTCAGGAGTAAAGATAAATTCTGGGAATAGAATGTATTTTAGGGATAAAGAGAACAAGTGTTGGAGTCAGATCGACCTCGGTTAAATCGTCCTGCTACTAGCTATAGTGTGGCATCGGGCAAGTTTCCTATCTTTCAGCTTTAATTTTCTCATCTGTAAAATGGGAGTATTTCTTTCTATGACAGCCTGTTGGCCCTTCTTAATCTAGCCTCTGCCCACCTCTCGCAAGTCAACCCCTGCTCTCAATCTCTCTAGCCATTCTGGCCTCCCAGTGGTTCCTCCAACATGCTGACCTTGGGCCTGGCTCAAGGCCTCTGCAACTGCAGTTTTCTCTGTCTGGAATGCTCTTTCTCCTGATCTCGGTGAGGTAAGCTCCTTCTTTTCTTTGAGGTCTCTGCACAAATAGCCCCTTTTCGGAGTAACTTGTTACCTACATATGTCATCCCCTACACCACCCACCATGCTCCTCTCTCCAGAGCACTTACCACTCCCTACGAGTACATATTATTTGATTTCCTATTATCTGTCTCTCGTACTAAAGGATCAGTTCCATACGTAAGGAGCTCTGTTATTTTAACTGGTGTATCCCCTGGCCTAGAACCGTGTACATACTGTCAAATACACGGACTATGAGTGACTACTTCATAGGGCTCCTGGGAGGAGATTTAACTGGTCATAGTATGAAAGTATTGAGCACATACCTGAAGCACAGAGGAAGTATTTGCACTGGGTTGAATCGTGTTCCTCCAAAACTCATGTCCACCCAGAACTCGTGAATGTGGCCTTATTTGGAAGTAACATTTTTGCAGATGCTAAAGATGAGGTCATACTGGATTAGAGTGTACCCTAGTCCAACGACTGGTGTCCTTATAAGAAGAGGAAGATTTGGACACAGAGAGTTACACAGGGAGACCATGTGACAGCAGAGGAAGAGATTGGAGTGATACTGCCATGAGCCAAGAACCTCGACACACAACACCCTTATAAGAAAAATAAAAGTGAGGATTATTGTTTTATCCCAGGAAGAAACTGAGGCAGCAGTCACTGGAAGCTAGGTGTGCCAACTCTCCAAGGGAATAAAATGCGTAGTCTGAATAGCACAATTCTTTGGCCTTATGCTGCATGTACCATGTTTTGCTTTGCCTCCTTTTCCTAAGGAAAATTTGAGATCAAATTTGGGAGACACACTATTCAAGTGTCTTCGTGGGAGAAAATGTTTGGTGTTTTTTTGTTTTTGTTTTTTTGGTTTTGTTTTGTTTTTATAAATACACTTTATTTATTTTTTTTTTATCCTCACCCGAGGACAGTTTTCCATTTTTTGTTCAGATAGAGAGGGAGGGAGAGAGAGAGAGAAACGTCCACGTGAAAGGGACACATAGAGTGGCTGCCACCCACACGACCCAACCAGGGCCGGGGACAAACTGCAACCAAGGTACGTGCCCTTAGCAGGAACTGAACCCGGGTCTCTCTGGACCGCAGGCCGACGGTCTAACTGCTGAGCCAAACCGACCAGGGCAGAACATGTTTCTTTAACACAGATAAGGAACAACAGGTCCTGACTTACTCCAAGTCCAGCTTTTAAAACGAAACCAAAGGGTTTGGTCCCAGTGGCGGCAAAGGACAGGAACGATGCAGAGAGGAGCCTTATGTTTCCAGGACTGGACACCTGTGTGTGACACAGCTGGATTGTGACAGCAGCTCTGTGTGTCTTCTGTAAATTAAATAGAAAATGGTATCTCCTAAGTTTCCTAGCTCTCTCGGCCACCTTGCTTTGGCTCTCCAGACAGTTTGGGGAAGGAGAGCGGAAACTAAGGAGGAGGGAGACCAAATCCTTGAAAGCCACAACTCAGAGACTTCCTGGACCAAAAGCACAACCGAATAAACAAGGTAGTGGCAGGTGTTTGACAGTCATTTGTGTAACCAAATGCTTAGTAGGCTTTGGACAGGTTACCTGGAAAGGCGCAGCGGCCCATGCCCCAAAGGGAAGCCAGAAGGATTGAACTGCACTTTAGTTGTGGCTGATCGGCTGGGCCCAATTTGCTGCTTTTCACTGGTTGTGAGAAGGCCCAGAGGCCCTTACACGGGATCTCAGCGCCCCAGGCAGTAGATTCAGGAGGTAGGGGGGAAAACCAACTTCGCCCCCAAGGTGGTTTCTTCCGCTGTTGCGCATAGATCCCTAAAGCAGGTGGAGGTGCAGTAAGATGTCAAATCCCACACTCAGTCCTTGGGCAACTTGTTCTCTTTAGGTCTAAAGGTCCCGAACGATCTTCCTCCGTGGTCCCCACATTGTGTAAATAGAGGCAGAGCGGGGGATGGGGGGCAGCGGGGCAAGCGTCATCTTTCTCAAAGCAGAAGACCCAGAAAGAATCGCGTTTTCTACCTAGGCGGCTAAAAGTGTTTCCCCGGTTACCAAATCAAAGGGCAGGGTCAGGGACGCGGAGGATGACTCAGGTCCACTTTGAACCTCCTCGGCTCTTGAGCAAGGTCGAGGAAGTTCGGGCCTTTGACGAGATGTTGCATCACGCAGCGTATGGGGCGAACTTGGTGGTTTTCCCTGGAGGAAGTGCCCCAAGGCAAGAGTAGAGGGCTGGGTGGGGGAATCCTACCCCTCCTTGGGCTCTAGAGTGAAAGGAAGGTCACTAAGGGACCCGCCTGCCGCTGCAGGATGGACTCTCGTAGGTCCACACGTGCCCGGCGCTCCCACTAGGCGGCACGTCCGGCCAGGCTGGAGGGGCGGAGGCGCGGCGTGGGAAGAGGGGCTGTTAAGAAACCTGCGATCCTCCGCCCAGTCCCGAGCTGGCGCACTCGCGGAGCGCCGAGCCCGCGGGGAGGTGAAGGCGGCGGACGTGCCCCGCGCAGGGTGGAGGCGGACACCTGGGCTGGCGCGCGCGGAGGCGGGCTCTAGGACCCGAGCGGCGCACCTGTTGGCGGGCGCCCCGGGCCCCGCCCGCCATCCGCCCGGAGATCTGGGCCGGCTGGTGCCAGGGTGGGGACTGCGAGCAGAGGGCCCTGTGAGGCGGTGGCAGCGGCGGCCCGGGCGCACCATGGCCGAGCTGCTGCGGAGCCTGCAGGATTCCCAGCTCGTCGCCCGCTTCCAGCGCCGCTGCGGGCTCTTCCCGGCGCCTGATGAAGGTGCCCGAGAGGACGACGCGAGCCCCGTGGAGGGCGCGGCGCGGGCGCCCGGGGTGGGTCATCACCCCACGGCCAACGGCAAGGGCGGCGGGGGACCGGCCAATCGGCCGCGCAGAGTCCCGGCCCCGCAGGTAACCGCCGGCCGAGCGTAGGTGGGTGTGGGGGGAAGGGGCGGTCCGCTCCGAAGCCTGCGGACCTGTGGTCCAAGCGACTTCGCGACGTGGGGAGGGGCGCGAGTCGGTCCTGCCGGCGGAGAGGGCGCCATCCCCGGCAGCCAGCCGGCTCCTGGCGCCGTGCGCGGCGGGAGGAGGGCTGGCGCGGCCCGTCCCCTGGATGCCGCCCTCTGACGCTGCCAGGTGGCAGCCAGGTCTGTTCGGACTTCAGATGCTCCCGGGGCTGCAGATGCTGCCTGTTTAGGGACCGTCTGCCTTCCTAAGAAGTTCGATTTACGCTCATGCGTGTTCTCCCAAGTGTGTAAGTTACATAATTGAAAAACGGAGAGGAGACGTCCTTGGCATTTTCACGAGAGGCTTCCCCGGGGAGAACTACTGAGAACTCCCCCCGGATTCGGGAGTTCCGCGCGTCCCCCCTTCCTGGCCCACGCCAGGTTTTAACGGGAGCGCAGCGTGTCTTCACCTTCCCGCATTGCCAGCTCTGAGGACAGAACTTCGGATTTAAATATTGCTCCGGGAGAGTTACACCCCCATCCTCCCATCCCCCACCTCACCCCCACCCCACCCCCGCCACCGCACACACCGCGAGTGATGAGGACCTAACAGAGTCGGGGCCCTCCTGCCTGCGGGGTCTTGCGTTAACTGGCACGGTGACTTTTAACAGATGCTGTCAGTGGGGAAGCTCACCACACTCCCCTCTAGGTGTTCAGAGTGTGGTTACACAACCCACTGCGGCTTGGGCAGCCTGCGTGTGTTGTCGTGTGTTGTCGCAGTGCACAGGAACTCTAGGCGGGAGGGGCCAGACCGGCTGCAGAAGCGAACGTGCCAGGGCTGCCCCTGGGAGGGAGGGCTGTCTGCTGCAGTGATGCCCTGGGCACGTCCTTCCTGGGAAGCTCTTCTCCTGGGGGAGGTGAAAAGTGTGCACAGAGGACAGAAGCATTGTATGAACAATCCCAGCTCCCCTTTGTGTGGGGAAAGAGTGGAGGAAGCCACATTTTTTTCTTCCTAGAAGTTTTGGTAACAGGAGGGTAACATATTTCTAGTAACTGGGGGCTATGAAGAACCTAGCTTCTATGTGGAGTGGACTATTGTGGACATTGAATTACAGAATTTGAGATGGTGGGGTTGGGGGTGGGTGTTTCATTCTAGACGAATCCTCTATAATTTTGTTTTCTTCTTTTATTTTTTCTAAGGACAATTCTCATTCCTGAAATGTGGTGGGGCATTTTCTGTGCGCACAGTTTACATCCACAGATGCCCAGGCTGCTTTCTCTGGCTCTCTCTCCTCAAGCCTGTCCCTTATTCAGAAAGCTGAAGGAGAGTGCATTTTTCCACTGGTGCTTTTCACACAGTTTTAAACATCACCCCTGGTGATGTATTCTGGGAAAGGGTCCTCTTGCCCGTTAAAAGCGTGATCAACAGATTTCTTGCAGAGACCAGTGTCTCCTTGTTGCTTGAAGAGCGTGGTCCTTCACTGGACCAAATGCAAGGAGATTCCCACTTCCCATCCAACACATAACTCCCTATAGAACAGGAGGAAGTAAGAATGGGCTGAAAATCGAGGATAAGAAATCACTAGTGATGTGTGATGGTGAGAAAAACAAAAACAAAAACGAGAGAACATTTGATAAATGAGAGGTTCGTGAATATATTCAAAGGTGGGTTGGTTTGAAGTGACTTGGGATGATTAATTTGCAAATACAGGTGGAGTTCCCAGAAGAAAATGATTACACAACTGTCCCAGAAACTTGAGAGGAGTCTAATGGAACAGTTGAAGAAACTTTTCTCCAACAGGTATCCTTCTCCTTGGCCTTCGGCCTGGGGCCTACCTGAGTGGCTGGTCCTTTCTCTAAATAACCTCCACTCATTTTTCAGTTTTCATGGTCAGTTCCTCAAGAGACACCTTCGCTCACCTTCCAGCCTCACCCCACTTCTACAGGTTCTCCTTGCTTCTTGTGTGTCTTCATTACAGCATTCATCACACTAACTACACCTTTGTGTGGAGATCTGATTATTGCCAGTCTCCTGCATGGATAGTGAGGTCTAAGAATTTGGGAAACTTGTCTGGTGTGCTCATTAATTTCCCCTCCCACGCCCACCCCCGTGGCCTGACACATGGGAGCTCAGTGGATTTTGTGAGTCAATGAGTGCAGATTGCAATATAAAGTCAGCCATTTAAAAGCAAGATAAGGATTTCTTGCAGAGAAGTGTCTTCTTGCTGCTCAGAGAGCCTGAGCCTTCCATGAGCCAAATGGTAGGGTTTTCCCCTTTGCATCTAATGCATGACTGTGGTCACTATGGAGCAGAAAAAAAGGAAGAGAAGGCTAAAATTCCAAGACAAAAAAATTGAAGATTTTTAAAAATTTTAGAGTAAATATTGAAATCAATATTTTCCACATAGCCTAGAAGTCAGGCAGCATGAGGATGTTGATGTAAGACCCTTCAAACAATAGAGAAGTTTTCTTCATTTGAGTGACTTTTGATTGTAACAAATCTAATTTTATTACCCCCCACATCTTCTATATTTAATTCTTAAAACAGGACAAGTATGGAAGTGATGGAGTAAGGACTTTTCTTTACAAATTCTCTTAACGCCACACTCTGCTAGCTTAAAGACTACATGTTTTACCAGCCGGGGCTGGGCTGGGCTGCAAGAAGCTGTCACTGAATGAGTCAGACTGGACTTTAGATATGCCCCAGTGCTCATGAATGTCACAGAGTTCTGAGTCCTGAAGAGTTAAATCCTCTGTTGAGGACTTGCCAAATATCCGCACAGCCAAATCTTTTGACTCTCAAGTTTAATCTTCTTCTACCGTGCACCGTCCAGAGAACAGTCTGAAGGCTTCCCTTACTCTGTCTCCTTGAGAAGATGTGAAGTGTTGGGCTTGGTTGGGAGCAGAGTGAAGACTGGGTAGAAAGAGAAATTGCTGTCGGTGTGCAAGTGTAACTGGTTTGCAAGGGTAACTATAGGAAGACATTCTTGGCAGTAGCTAAGAGCAAGAGACAGGGAGCCTGGGGCCGAGCTAGGCGGGCAGTGGCCCAATTAGAATTGTGTTTATTTGTTCTGGGGCAGAGCCAGCCTTGGATATAATGGTATTTTGATTTTCATCCTTTTTGCTTACTCAACACAGTTGCATTAAGTTAGCCTTTGCAGTGCCTTTTCCCATTATTCTGTTAAACCAGAAATAAACTTTCCAAATTACGCTGTGCTCAATAAATACTCTTTGATAACTATTTGCTGAGACATGGTTCTCAAGTTGAGTTGGGGAGGGGATCAAAGATGGGTTGTTTTTCGAAGTCTTTGCTCTCCTCTTTCCTGCTTGAAACATTTGGGGCCCTCCAAGCTGTCAGTCTATGAAGCCCTACCCTGGATTGTATTGGCTTGCTAAAGTGCAAAGGGCATCGCAGGAAGCCAGAGATCCCTGCCCCCATGTTGTTTTGAACTCTTCTGGGCCTCAGTTGTCCCATATGAAAATGAGCAGATGGACTGGAACCATGGATTTCCAACCGTAGCTATAAATTATAGAGAGTTAGAGGAGCTTTAAAAACAAAACAAAAATACGATGTCCAGGACCCAGGTCGGAAGTGGGGCCCAGGAAAGCTGTCAAACAGGTGGGAGCTCTGAATTCTCTTGTCCTGGGAGCCACCACCCGTAGTGTGCTCAGGACGAGGGTAGTGATGGCTGGAGGCAGCGACCGTGCCAGCTGTGGCATTTGGCTTGATTATAACTAAAACGGTCAACAGGTCAAACTTCAATTTTGGATTATCTATAGATGAATATTCAGATTCAAAATGGTAAAATAAGCCATTTGGAAAAGGTATATTTGATCTTTTTTTTTTTTTTTTTTTAGTTACAGGTTTTTTTCTGACTAGTAAATTTGGAAAAAGGCAAAGAAAAAAATTAGATTTATATGCCCATTGTACCACTACCAAAGAAAATCAGTCAGTAAATATTAAACCTGATCTTTAATGACCACATGTTATCCATAGCATGCATATACCAAAATTTAGTTGGCCTATTGCTGGGCCTTTGTTTCCAGTTTTTGCATTAAAGATAACAACTTTGTTCAAGTTTTATTCTATATATCTTAATTGTCTTTATTTCATTTTTTAAATTTATTTATTGATTTTGGAGAGAGAGATACTATTGGCTGCCTCCTGCATGCCCCCACTGAGGATTTGGCCCACAACCTGGGCATCCGCCCTGACTGGGAATCGAACTGGCGACCTCTTGATGCATGAGCTGATGCTCAATCACTGAGCCACAGTGGCTGGGCTATCTTGATTGTCTTTAAATTACCATACAGTTGCAGTGTTTTTCTTGCGATGAGAATTTCTAGATCTATCCTTTTAGCAACTTTCACATATACAATACAGTATTGTTGACTACAGTCACCATGCTGTATATTAATTACATCCTCATGACTTATTTATGTATTTTTAAATCCTCACCTGAAGATATTTGTCTATCTTCAGATTGGGGTGGGGGAGAAACATTAATGCTAGAGAGACACATCGACTGGTTGCCTCCCGCATGGCCCTGGTCAGGGCCGGGGACTAAATTGCTCTTGATTGGAATTGAACCCACAACTCTTTGGTCCGAGAGAAAAACTGGCCAAGGCAGACATTTATTTTATAACTGGAAGTTGGTAACTTTTGATCATCTTCACCCATTTCATCCCACCCCTGCCAACCACTGATCTGCTTTCTGTATCTGAGTTCCGTTTCTATTTTCTACCAGTAAGTAAAATTATATAGTATTTGTCTTTCTCAGTCTGACATATGTCACTTAGCACAGTCCCCTTAAGACTTATCACCAGGGTTGTTGCACATGGCAAGTTTTCCTTCTTTTTAATGGCTGAATAATATTCCATTGTATGTATGTATGTGCGGGGGCACATTTTCCTTATCTATTATCCATCACTGGGCATTTGGGTTGTTTCCATGTCTTGGCTATT